ATTCGGGGTTTTTATACCATTTCGAAGAAAGTTATTCAAATGCCATTTTCTTGGCGGATGTCAGTTGTACGCCAACAACATCTTGTCAGACATTAGTGAAGAAAGAGATCTGTTGACAGTGATGATAACATGAGCAAAACAACTCGAGGTGACAATTGGTGGATACAATGTGAAGAGCAGAGAATTAGTGAAGAGATCCTAGACAAGTACATAACGCACTATATACAAGGAAAAAGAAAAAAAAAGGAAAAGTACAAAAGGCTGTCAAAGTAGGTCCGGAAGATTTATTCACTATGTGTAGGGTTGAGAGTTTATTGGAAGATATGGGGAAGAAAAGGAAAGTGAAAGTGAAACTACATTTCCCCACCTTTCTATGCTCCTATTTAGCAATGATCTAAATGTCAAGAACTTTTTTTAGCACACAAATAAAAATAGGGAAATTGAACTTTTAATTATTTTATATGTTAAAGTTAAAATTTTAAAAGTATAAAAAATTAAAATAAATATATAAATATTATTTGTTCCTTATTTATTTCTTTTATTATATATTTATTTATTTATTTTAGATCTACTTTCTGTGCTAAGAAGAGTTCTTAAAATTTTAGGCTTATTTATTTTTGTAAGAGGTAGAACACCAAAGTAAACACATGACAATACTTGTGGAATTTTGTAATGACTAAATGAGGTAAATTACTGCTTTCAAATTGCCACAAGTGTCATTGATCATATGTTTGTTTTTGTTGTTTTTTTTTTTAAACTTGGTTTATTTTCTAAGTATTAATAGTTCTTTTAAAAAAAAAAAAATTAAGCAAAGGTAAACAGTAAGAAAAAGAAAGAAAATCAACTAGAAAAAGGAGCTAAATTTATTTAGGTAAATATTACTTAAAACTTAAAAGAAAAATTAATTCTAAAAGTATAATGTCCCATGTATGATAGAAAAGATCAAAAAGGAAGATGAAGATCAAAATGGTTAAATTTAGAGAAGGGAGAAGTAGGTAACAGAATAAAATGCCATTAAACCCACAAAATAAAAAAGGACTTTGTTCAAAACAACTTTCTAAAATAAAATCATATTTATTTAAAGTCACAATCCTCAACACTTTAGCTGCTATGGAAATATTTATGTCTTTACAAAACTTATATTGCCTGCATTTGCTTGATGTCTCAAAAATAACATATACACTCTTTTACAGTGTATCGCTCAAGTTAACTAGTTTTCTTTTCAGATTTAAACATTAGTATTACTAATGTCATCCAGGCTTAGCTCTGAACAAAGAAAGTTTAACCTGAAATGTTACTTGAAGTACAAAAGTGCAGATGAAGTTCAAAGGTGGTATCAAAGAAAGTTTCATTCAGACCCACCCTTGCGGCTTACAATCTCACAAGTTAGAGATAAGTTTGAAACTGATCATATTGCACACGATGTGTACAAAAAATATTCTGGAAGACCACAGGTATCAACCACACCAAGTAAAGCAAAAAATAGTGATGGAAACTTTTCACCGAAGTCCAAAAATCTATTGAAATGTTGATTGCTGCTTGTGATTCCATTACATTGTCAGCAATGCCTGGATCATAATGGACATTAATTTGAAAATATGTGATAAAATCTTAAGAGCATATATTTATAATAAACACAGTCTTTGTACACATTATTTAAATTAGATATGGTTGGTTCTAGTTGCTTGAAATATTTACTGAGAATGATTCAAAATGTGTAGACATTTTTTGAAATACACTGTATATACATTTACAAGACACCATAAAAGTTTTGTCTCTAGTGTTTGTGTTATAAACTAACTAGCACTTTGTGCTATTTCTAAACCAGAATAGATATATTGTAATATACAATAAAACCTTTTTGTGGTATATTTTTTATTATATTGTATGCTGTTAGTCTGTACCAAAGAGTATGCAATCAAAACCAATTGAAAAATTGGTATCAGTGTTTTTATAGTCATTTATTTCCAGTAAATAGAAATTTCCTATTTTTCCCAAAATGGGCCAGCACAGCCAAGCAACAATGTTATAACAATGCAACAGTGAAAGTGTTAATAGTGCCAAGTAGATTTTAGCAATTTTTGAAATTGCCAAAATCTCACTTCAACTCAGCCTTGTGCAACATTCTGTGCAAGTAGGTGCCTATGTCTTTAATATGTCTTTACAAAATTTATATTGTCTGCTGTTGATGTATATATACATTTTCAAGATACCATGAAATATCGGTCTTTAGTATTTGTGTCATAAACTAGCACTTATTGCTATTTCCAAACCAGTGTAGTTTGTGCTGTATTTTTATTATATTGTATTTAGGGTATTGTTTCACTTAGTTTGTATTACAAAGTATCTGATTAAAATCAAAATGACAGCACCCACGAGAAAACACTGCCTTTTAAAATCATTTATTTCCATTAAATGGCAATTTCCTATTTTCCCCAAATGGACCAGCACAGCCAGGCTATAACACTATAATATTGCAGCTATAAAAGTGTTAACATCA